TCACTATCTGCAACCCTCCCCCCTGAAAGCAGGTACCAGCAAGAACTGGAGTATCTGAAGATCATGGGATTTGCTAATCGTGATGCCAACCTGCAGGCCCTAATGGCCACCGATGGAGACATCCATGCTACCATTGAGAAGTTGCTGGGGGAACCAGAGGCCTAGGTCCCTTCAGCTGATGCTCACCATGCCACCCCATGGAGAGGGAGGTGGAGAAAGGGAAAGGGGAAGGGAGGGGAAGTAGCTTATTTTGGGAATTCCTCCTATTCAGATCATGTGCATACGGGAACAGTCCTTTCCTCAATCCCGAAGCCTGTTCTACATTAAAAAGATTGCTCGGATCACATGTGTGATGTCAGTTATGAGGTAGGTGGGCAAAGAGAATGTTGTTTTGGGGAGGAAATAACCATGTTATATGGTCTTGGGTTTGGGCTTTATCTTCTCATACCCGTAATCTCAGAGTATTTTCCAAATTTGAAAATGAAGTGGGGAAATTGTATTTTTTTTCAGTATTTTTTTTTCTCCTGCTCAGTTGGCAGCACAGTTCCTCACCAACATTGTCATCATCACTGTGAGCCTCCTCTATTCCAACTTGAGTGACTCTGAAGGAATCCTGGCTTTTGCTCCCCCAAGAAGCTGTGGCTCTTTTTACAGCCTCTGGAAGCTACCACTCTTTGACCATGTTTCTCTGTGTTTAGGTCCAGTCTCCTGCTATTACAGAAAAGATGTTTACCTTCCCTCTCAGCTAGGGCTCTTCCTTTGATATCTTCCTGTGCCAGGATTCTGCTTTTATAAGATTGATGGGGAAACTAGAGGCCTAGGTTCCTTCAGCTCCACTACTTCAGAAGGTCCATTCTCTCCACCTATTCCCTTTATGCCACAAAATGCTTGACTCTGATGCCTTATTGATTACTAAATTTTATCTCTTAATTCTGCCTGCCCTTCCAATGATTATGTTTCACCAACCTCTGCAGTCTCTGACTTATCCCCAGGATGGTGCAGAAACTTTCTCAAGAATGTTCCTCATTTTTGATCTTCCCAAAATTTTCTATGGAATTTCATATGCTGACCTTTCTTTAATTTTTAAAAATCTTTATTGTTGAAAGTAGTACAGATGTCCCCCCATTTTCCCCCTCCACCAGGTTCCTGCTCTGCCCCAGGCCTTCACCACCTTATTGTCTGTGTCCATAGGTAATGCATATATGCATATAAATTCTTTGGTTAATCTCCTCCCACTGTCCCACTCCCATTCCCTCTGAGATTCATCAGTTTATTCCATGTTTCCATGCTTCTAGATCTATTTTATTCATCAGTTTATTTTGTTCACTAGATTTTTGTTTATTTTAATTTTTAAATTCAATTGTTGTGTTTTTTTAAAAATATATTTTATTGATTTTTCACAGAGAAGAAGAGAGAGGGATAGAGAGCTAGAAACATCGATGAGAGAGAATCATAGATCAGCTGCCTCTTGCACACCCCCTAATGGGGATGTGCCCACAACCAAGGTACATGCCCTTGTCCAGAATTGAACCCAGGACCCTTCAGTCTGCAGGCTGACACTCTATCCACTGAGCCAAACTGGTTCCAGCCTTTAGAGTCAATTGTTGATAGGTATGTAGTTATTGCCATTTTTTTCCTCTCCTCCTCCTCCTCCTCCTCCTTCTTCTTCTTCTTCTTCTTCTTCTTCTTCTTCTTCTTCTTCTTCTTCTTCTTCTTCTTCTTCTTCTTCTCTTCTCCTCCTCCTTCTTTTTCTATGCATGCCCTTCAATATTTCATGAAATAGTGGTTTGGTGGTGATAAATTTCTTTAGCTTTTTTTTTTGTCTGTGAAGCCCTCTGACCTTCAATCTATACTAATAAAAAGGTAATATGCTAATTAGACCAGGAAACATTCCAAACAAAGCATGGTGGCTGGGCCGAGGCAGAGGCAGGTTTGGGCAGATTTGGGGTGATCAGGTTGGCTGGGGAGGAGGGGGAGGCAGTTGGAGGCAAGCAGGCTGGCAGGGGGAGCATTTGGGGGTGAGCAGGCCAGCAGGGGGACAGTTGGGGGCAATCAGGCCAGAATGTAGAGTGGTTATGGGCAATAAGGCAGGCAGGCAGATGAACAGTTAGGAGCCAGTGATCCCAGATTGCAAAAGGTCCCTGATCCACAAGGATTGGGACTAAACCAGCAGTCAGATATCCCCTGAGGGGGTCCCAGATTGGAGAGGATGCAGGCTAGGCTGAGGGACAATGCCATCACCTGTGCACAAACTTCATGTACTGGGCCGCTAGTTCTAAATGATAGCATTGATGATTAAGAAATCTTGGTTGTAAGTCTTTGCTATTCATCACTTTGAATATTTTTTGACATTCCCTTCTGGCCTACAAAGTTTCTATTGAGAAATCAGCTGACAGTTGTATGAGTGCTCTCTTGTACGTAACTAACTGCTTTTCTCTTGCTGATTTTAAGATTCTCTCATTGTATTTAACCTTTGGCATTTTAGTTATGATGTGTCTTGATATGGGCATCTTTGGGTTCATTTTGTTTGGAGCTCTCTGCACTCCTGGACTTGTAGGTCTGTTTCTTTCACCTGGTCTTTCTTTCTTTAAGCTGCTTCACTTAATCTATTATATTACACACTGGCTTACAGAGTGGTGCCTCCTGAGAGTATGTTATACCAATTCTTTCTTTATTCATCCTCCAAAAGCTTTGGCCATATTTTTTGGTTCTTATTCTTACTTTTAATAGCATGGTTCCTAAAGCTGCATCTACTTGTACTTTCCAAAGCTTATTAGCCTTCCCTTTGGGTGTTCCAGAGGAACCTCAGGCTCAGCATGTCCAAATAAAGCTCAGCATCTTTTCCCTGGTTCCAATTCCTACTCTAACTTCTGTGTGATATTTCCCAATATCTTACTGAGTTCCATCAAAACTCTCCCAATCCACCCATTATCCCTGTAAACCTCTGCTCTATTTGAGGTGACTCACGGTGTAGGCAGCTGAAGCATGTCTTATTTGATTTGTAATTTTCTCAAGGTCACACAGTTTGTGGTTGACAGGAATAAAGAAACCCAAACTCTTTGATTCTAAAGTTTGTGCTCTTAGCTTTACATCGTCCCAGAGCCAGGATCAATCTGTTCCCATGAAGTCAGTGAGCAGGAAGTGTTTTCTATGTGACCCTGGCACAGTGGAAGGAACAACTTAGGTTTCCTATTCTTTAGAAGTTTAGAAATATTTAGAGAGGAAGAGCTCAGAGAACAATCCAAGTCACAAGGATAAAATTACCTATGCTTACTTAAAATAAGCACAAATAAAATAATGTGGCAGTCAAGTAGGAGGTAGAAAGAGGTAGTAGGAAGAGTTTCCTCAGGGCTCAGAGAAAAGGATTTGTTTTTCTTTTAAAATTGTACATATACAAGAATGTGTGAGTATATGTGTGTGTGTGTGTGTGTGTGTGTGTGTGTGTGTGTGTGTGTGTTGTATGAGATATATGCAGACTGACAGGAGTGGCGGGGATCTGGGGGTGGGGTGGGTGAATTCTAGTCCTGGGAATGGCTATGACACAGGGAAGAACTCAGCAGGGTAATGTCTCAGGATCTCACCAGGGCTGAATCAAAGTCCATTTCAAAGTCTCCTCACCACACATTGAAAGAGCTAGACTCAGGGCAAAAAGAAACAAGAATCCTGCATACAATATGGCAGGATTCAAGACCACAACCTGGGCATGTGCCCCAACCAGAAACTGAAACCAAGACCTCCCGGTTCATGAGTTGACACTCAGCCACTGAGCTCCACCTAATACTATCAACTATCACCAGTTTTTATGGAGAGCTTAATTTATGTCAGGCACAATGATGAACACATTTCTAATGCTGGTGTTGGTTAAGTGGTATGCCCCAATTTATGCACCTGTAAGTAGTAGATAAGAAAGTCAGATTTAAGTACAAGTTTATCTGTATCCACACATCACATTTATTTCTATTATAAAACACTGGATAATATGTGATATGTCAGTACAAATGCATAACCTTAGGACTATTAGCCTCTCTAAATCACAGGCTCTTAATTTAAAATGTAGAAAATCACAACATATTTTTGAGCCACTGGGAGGAGAATTTGTGGACTTGTGCATTTTAGAATTGAGGTTATTAAGCAATAAAAAAATATTTTAAAAGACACTTGGACCCTGAGTCATCTCCCTTGAGTTCTTAATAAGAAATTACTTCATGCCTGAAAAGAAAAGGATCTCAAAATGGAAGATCAGAGAGGTAGAGAAAAATGCAGTTTTAATGAGTACTAGTCATATCACAATCACTATTTTAAAGTTTCTATATAGTTATAATAATGAGCTTGTGAAGAGACATAATATAAAAAGCCTTCAATAATTATAACTTGGCTAATAATATTTAGAAAGGTTACATAAGTTCATCATCTTATACTTATTTTATTGAGCAGGTTACATATTCAGCGCTATTGTATGTTTTTTTTACATCCATTAATTTATTTATTCTTCACCACAACATTAAGAGATATTGTCATTAACCTCCATTTAACAGTTTGTCAAATTGAGGCATAGAAAGATTTAACAATATGCTCAAGGCCACAAAACAAGTAAAAGAACCAGGATTCAAATCCAGGCATTCTGACTTTGTGTACTGAATCATTCAAAATATTAAAACCCAGGTTCAATTTGCCTCAAATACTCTCTTTTTTTCCTGTTTGAACTCACAGTAGAATAACTCCACCATAAAACCCAGACTCCTTTCAGTACAGCAACTCACTTCCTCTTTAGTAATTCATAGATACCTTTGAGACAAAATTAAAAATATAATCACCTTTCTGAGCTCTTCAAGGAGCCATGGGGGGGGGGGGGAAACATACTTCAATTTGATTATTGATATCTCCAGATCACCTGGCCTTTTCTTTTTTTAGATCATGCACATATAATAAAGCAGGGCATATTTGTATAAGTTTAAATAACAGTGTTCAAAAACATTCTCCTCATATGATAGGTCTCTGCACATGTAAATGCATCTAGATAGCTACCTTACAAATTTATTATTCTCATTTCCAACGTTTTCTCAGAATTCATACTGAAATCTTCTTCAGGCGAAGCAGTCTTAGGAGTCGACTCCGAATCTCCTTGGTCCTCGCCCCATAGATGACTGGGTTGAGCACAGGAGGCACCAGCACATAGAGGTTAGCCAGAAAGATGTGCACATGCTTGGGGACTCGGTGCTGGCCAAAACGGTGGGTGAGAAAGGAGAAGAAGGCAGGGATGTAGAAGACCAGGATGACCCCAAGATGGGAGCCACAGGTACTCAGGGCCTTGTGCTGGGCATCTCGGGATGGAAGACGAAAGACAGCACGGAGTATAAAGCCATAGGAGATACTAATGAGAATAGAATCCAGGCCCATGGCCAGCAGGGCCACGGTCAGCCCATAGACAATATTGACAGTGATGTTGGCACAGGCGAGTCGAGCAATGCCCATATGCTCACAGTAGGTGTGTGCCATGATACGGTGCTGGCAGTAGGGCAGGCGCTTCAATAAAAAGATGAAGGGGGAGACAATGGCTATACTACGAAACAGCCCAACGAGGCCAATTTTGCCTATGACTGTGTGGTTGAGGATGACTGTGTATCTCAGTGGGTTGCAGATAGCCACATATCGATCAAAGGCCATGGCAAGAAGAATCGAAGACTCCAGAGCATAGATAGAATGGACACAAAACATCTGGGCCAGGCAGCCACCAAAGGAAATCTCACCAGCATGGAACCACAAAATGGCCAGCATTTTGGGTACAGTAGTGGAGCTGAGCGCCAGGTCAGTGAATGAGAGAAGGCAAAGGAAGATGTACATGGGTGCATGCAGTGCCTTGTCCGTGACAATCACCAAGATGAGGGCAGCATTCCCAGCCAGGGCTACCATATACATGGCACAAAAGGGGATGGCAATCCAGATGTGGGCTCGCTCCAGCCCTGGGATCCCCGTCAGAAAGAGCATTGCTGGGAGACTGTCATCACTAATGTTGGAAGTTGACATTCTGCCTGGCAATTAAAGACACCAAGGGGTGATACTGCGCCTCTCCTACAACAGAAAGTATTTGGTTCATTCACATAAAATGATGAGCCTTCTGTGCGTAACCTTTTTTAGTCTGAGAAAAATATGTATTGGTATTAATGTGTTCAAGAACCCTAACAGATACTATTACATATAATTCATTTTTGTCATCTGCCACTTTCTATATTAAAAATTCATGTTTTGAATTCTATGTTCCAAGTACCAAGCTAAGAGTAAAAGCGTTTTCTTTGTCTAATCCTTCCGATTTGTTTCTCACCACGTCCCCACATCATTTACTCTCTTTTGTTCACATACATCTAAAAAATTTTTCTTGTTTCTTTTTTTAGTGTATGGTATTCCATTCCAAGGAGTACCTTTTTATTTTTTATTACCTTTTTAGTTTTAAAGTATCAGGCAAGCCTCCCAGAAGCCTTACCACTCTAATTTAGTCCTTAGTCTTCTTTATATTTTTTATTCATTCACTACTCTGCAAAAGTCTGTTGAGCTTGGTACTCTGTCTTTACACAATTGCAACCTCCATACAACATGGCTCTATCTGTACCTAGACACTTTGCTCAGTATTCACTAAAAGACTCAATTCTGATAACTTTATAACAAACCATTGATGTCTGCCTTAATGCCATATTTTTAAATTTTTTTAAAATATATTTTTATTGATTTTTTACCGAGAGGAAGGGAGAGAGATAGAGCTAGAAACATCGATGAGAGAGAAACATCAACCAGTTCCCTTTGCACACCCCCTACTGGGGACGTGCCCTCAACCAATGTACATGCCCTTGACCAGAATCGAACCTGGGACCTTTCAGTCTGCAGACCGATGCTCTACCACTGAGCCAAACCGGTTTCGGCTTAATGCCATATTTTTAATGTCTTAACCTGTGTTTGTAACATATCTGCCCAGATATATATGAAATGGCTTGTTTTTATATCTCACTTATAGTGCCTACAAAGAGGTTAAGCAACTTGAAAATACTCAAATGCCTCATGGTTAAATAACTACAGTGTTTTGACCATGCATGGAGGCACCATGAAAGAAAGTAAAAGATGTATCAGACATGCTAGCTAGGGATACAGAACTGCTAACTTCCTTGTACTGCACACTCACCAATGCAATTGTTGGATTAATGGCATCATCAAAATATCAATTGATAATAGAGGCAGATTGAGGGAGCGAGTGGTGTGTCCTAGAATTTACCTACAGTAGACATCCTGGAAGAATGAATTATTTTTTGTTGTAGAAACTAATTATGTACTGGTATTATGTACATCCTCCCTCAGTAATATTATATACCTAAAGTAATCCTTTGTAGGATGCCTGAATCCTGAATTTTAGTTCTGATTCTATTGTGTGAGTGTTATATGACTGGGACAATTCCTTCCCTTCTCTGGGAAGTCTCGATTTATAAAAAGCAACAACTTGTAGCTACAGAATTGTCACAGAAATCTAAATTACAGCATATGGAAATAGTCAATGATATTGCAATAACTCTCTTTGAGGCTGGGTGGTATTTGAAATATCAGAGGGACCACTCTGTAACGTTCATGATTGTCTAACCACTATGCTCTACATCTGAAACTAATACAGAATAATATTGAATGTAAACTGTAATTGGAAAACAAAAAAACAAAAAAACAAGAACTCTGAAGTTTTTATCTCAGCTTTTCTACTATTCATTATTTAGCATTGGTTAAGTCTCATGAACTTTTTGAGACTCAATTTTCTCATTTCTAAATTGAGAATGACAACACTTGGCTTATTTCACACAGCTTTTGTGTTTGAGAGAGTAAAGTACATGAAATTTAAAAGTTTGAACACCAAAAACAATGCCCTCCACATTTTTTACAAACTCTTTCTCATAGCTGCACTTGGGAGTGATACAGAATATAATAATTATACTCACCTCTGTCTTGCCAAGAAGAAGTCCAAGTTCAGATAAGTGAGCTGATGTAATCCAGATCACAAAGCCTATTACTGTCAGAACTAAAATTAGGTCTTAGATCTCATATTTAACATTTGGTTGCTTTCATCTCACTTAACTGTCCATGTGTATGGCCAACACTTAATTTGCTACTTTTATTTTATTATTTTGCAAAGGCACTCTAATATCAGTAACTAATGCTACAATCACTTTACTCATCTGAATTCCAGAGACAAAGTGGAGCATCCCTCTGGTTTGCCTGGAGACTTCCACAAATAGCTCCAGCCACTAGAGAAAAGAAGCTTTCATGGTGGAGAGTGGAGGGTTGGAGTCACTATATCTGCCTTTCCCCCTTTTTCCTAGCCTATTCTTGCTTGCAAAGGAAGGTTTCAAATAGTTATTATAAGGAAGCTGCTACTCTGGAAGCCTGTATGGATGGGAGTACCAGGAAGATTAGGTACAAGCAAAGTTGTTTTCCATGGAAATGCATGGGGGAAAGACAGAGAGCCCCAGGATCACTCTGGGTGGAATAAGGCATCCTCCCAAATTTGTCTCTCTCAGCCTTGTTTCTGGGTCACTGTGATAGTAAAGTTCTTCAGAGTTCCCTCTGAGACCTAGACTTTAATACATGAACTCCGAGTTCTTTCTTTCAACACAGATTTTTGAAGAATCTGATTTCAAGAACATACCTGTGTGACTGATGGGTGTTTACAAGTTGAGCATGCTGAGGCTGGAGCTGTGACCCGTGTCATATGTGATTGTGAGGCTGCATGAGAGTATGTGGCGGAGTAACATCTTGTACAGATGCTGAATACCTGAGTGAAATGGCTCATTTAGGAATGTGAAAAGTGTTTTTGTGCAGGCTGTAAAAACTGTTTTTTGTGCAGTATGTAATTTGGATGATAATGGTGTCTGAGTGTTGATATGTCTGGGTTGAAATGTGTAATCTGTCCTTAGTTTTGTGAACCCAGTGAGTGGCTTCAGTTTAGCTCTGAGTCCCAGCCTCCACTGGTGAAGGGGCTTAGTAAGTGAGGTTATTTATTGACTTTGCGACACTCATGTATGAAACCCCAGGGAGATCTACTCTAGGGATTTTAGCCATGGTGTTCATTAGTAGAGAAAGAATGGGGGGGGGGGGTGCGGGGGTGAGGGGGGCTTATAATAGGAGAAAGAAATGAAGAAGGGAAGCTATCCTTAGAAAAATTTCAAGGAAAGTGAAAATAAAATTTAGCAATTTTTGTTTTCTTCCCTGATGACCTCTTACTTTCTCTCTCCTCTCCTTCTCTTCTAAATATCACTATATTTTCATACATTGTAGGTCCATGGTAGTCTGTGTATAGAGGGCATTACTAATGTTATATGCAAATAGGGTGACAAGAAATGGCAGTGGACATTTTTTTATGCTCCATTGTCCAATAGACTTGATTTCACAAAATAAAAGTTCAAAATTAAGAATTTCAAGAGCATGGAAGCAGGACATTGAAGTGAACCCAGGAACCTTCTGAGCATGGGCCTTATGCTACTGTCCCAGGTGTCATGCCCACAAAGCTAGCCCTGGGAGCGAACAGCATCAGTCCTCTAGTGAGATCCCTTTATATTCTTTTACATTAGTCACACATCAAGTTTTTGCATCAAGGATTTCTTCAATCAATGCCTTCATAGTACAACTTTCCTTTGTACATAGGGTAGTTTCCTCCCTTATTCATGAGTGATATGTTCCAAGACCTCAGTGGATGCTTAAAACCACATCTAGTACCAAAACTTTACATACTGTACTTTTTTTTTCTATACATATGTACCTGTGATAAAGTTTAACTACTCTTGAGGTTTGGAGCTATTATGAAGTAAAGTAAGGATGACTTGAACACAAGCACTGTGATAGTGCAACAGTCAATCTGATAACTGAGACAGCTACTAATGACCAGTGCACAGGAAATGTATACAGTGTGGATATGCTGTACAAAGGGCTAATTCAGGCCCCCATAAGATGGCATAATGTTTTGTCACACTACTCAGAATGGTGCAATTTTAAACTTACAAATTACTTATTCCTGGAATTTTTCCATTTAGTATTTTCAGACTACAGTTGATCAGAGTTAATTGAAATAATGAAAAGCAAAATCATGGATTGGGGTGGGGGGGACTACCATACCTATATACCTATATCCTCTCACATTTTTCCAAAACAATGGTCTTCACAATTTTTGCTTAGATACTTTCTAAATCAATTTTGAAATAGTATATGCTCCCTCAAAAATGTTCACACTTAAAAATGTAATTGACTATCTAAATAGTTTAGTCTTTGTAAATACTGATATTTTTAAATGAAACTACCACCTAAGTTTTTTAATTGTATTCTATGGAGTTTATTTTTAGAGTGATGAAAATATTCTAAAATTAGATATTGATAATGGTTGTACAACATTGTAAATATACTAAAAATCACTGAATTGTACACAATTAAATTTTATGGTATGTGAATTATTATAAACTAGAGGCTTAGTGCATGAAATTTATGCAAGGAGGTAGGAGATATGTGTCCCTCAGCCCAGCCTATAACTTCTCTAATCTGGGATCCCTTGAAGGATGTCCACCTGCTGGTTTACAGGGATTGGGCCTAATCCGGCAGTCAGACATCCCTCTCGCAATCTGGACTGCTGGCTCAGAACCACTCACCTGCCTGCCTGCCTGATCACCCCTTCACCACTCCTCTGCCATCCTGATCAACACCTAACTGCTCCCCTGAAGGCCCTATTGTCCCTAATTGCCCTCCCCTGCAGGCCTAGTCACCCTAACTTCTTTCCCCTACAGACCTGGTCCCCCCCCCCCCCCCAACTGCCCTCCCCTGCAGGCCTGGTCCTTCCTAACTGCCTTCCCCTGCAGGCCTGATCACCCACAACTGCCCTTCACTGTTGCCCATCTTATGGCTGTCATTTATGTCCACAGGCAGATGGCATCTTGTGTGTTGGAGTGATGGTAAATTTGCATATTACCCTTTTGTTAGATAGGATGACCAATTTTAAAAAAAATAATAGAATTATGGCCCTGGCTGGTGTGACT